TGCTATTAGGTTGGAGGCCATTGGTAGTGGGTTGGAGGCCATTGGTAATAGGTGGGAGGCCATTGCTATTAGGTTGGAGCCCATTGGTAGTAGGTGGGAGGGCCATTGCTATTAGGTTGGAGGCCATCGCTCGTCTCCCTAAAGATCTAGGAACCAAATGATTAGTGCGAACGCTTCTGCAAAGAAGCTCCCCCCCGCCCTCAGGTGGGGGAGCTTTGTTGCGTCCGGTCGGTAGTAGCTTGCTTGCAACTACTAGCTACCTCAATTCCTTAATTAAATAATCAGGAGTTGGTAGCGGGCCTCATGGAGCGGTAGAAGTTGTTGACGATCTGGGCATTTTGCATGTTCAGGAACTCTTCAACGTTGGTCTCTTTCGTCAGATACTGACGCATCGCTTCTCAAGATGCAAGCTGGAAGCTGAAGGGGCCTAATCCAAACAACTGGAAGACAACGTAGTTCTCTTCGCCGGAAATCCAAACAACTGCCAGCTAAATTCCTTCACCCTCTTACTGAAAGCACGTGGATACCCCGTGTATGCATTCGTGATTTTGACGCAGCAGATTGTATTGTTTCCGTACAAGCACGAACACAACATGAAAAATGAAAGTGTCTGCAGGAGTTAGCTACATACGAATGGGTTCAACCATGAAACAAAAGATAGCTAAACTCATTCAAAGAGATAAAGACATCCCCTCTCCTTGCACCACCAAACCAAGAACTCGGAGAAGACCTTGAGAGCAAGGAGCGACAATCACCATGAAACATGATTGAACTGGCAATTCTTCATGACTCGTTGTCCTATAGGACCATACTCCAGGAGAAGCACTGAACCTCTCTGAGCTTCAGTCGATCTTATCGTCGTGGTTCGAGTCAGCCTGTGGAAAAGCAAGCAAACTGAAGTGGACTTCGATGCCGACTGAAACGACTGAAACGCATCTTCTTTTCTGTTTTAAAGGGTACCCTTTTGGCGGGAAAGAGGGCAGGCCGTGACAAGAGGTGTGAAAGGAAAGCAGGTGAGCTCTAAATCTTAAGGAAAGCTTGAGGCACACACAGCAGAAAGGGGGCAAAGAAAACAGCTAAACGTGATAAGCCCTTCGTAAGCCCTTCTGCCCCTGTAAGACGAAAAGATCCAATTGAGGACTTCCTCTCGATATGAATTTGGTGCACCTCTCTCCGAAGTGGCTCGGGAAAATCATGACACCCACGGTGTGGTGTCATTTTTGGACAAAGAGAAATATGAGGTCCATTGCTGCTAGGTGCAAGGCCACCGCTACTAGGGGCTCCTGGCATCGCTACTAGGAGCAAAGACGCTATTAGTAGCTATGTCCAATGAGTGTCACGAGTCACATGGTGATGTCATGGCGAGGTTGCACAGCGACGATGTGAACCCATCCACCCATCTCTTCACTGCACTTGGGCTCAACAGTTTAACCGAGACATGGGACCCGCAACCACTTCCAGAGAAAGCCTTTATCTGTTGTTTTGCCGCTTTTGATCTCGAAACATGGCGAATCGAAAGAACCGGGCAAAGGCAGATTTAGCAAATCTTCGAACAACGTAAGACGCAGATTTGCCTCGGACCAAAAGTACCGGATTCGGCTCTCTGGCAGCTCAAAGCCGCATGGCAGCTGCAGCATCCGGGGAAGAACCACCGAAAACCTCGGAAAAGCAGCCGGCAAAGGGTAGGGCCGGGTAGGACCCTCTTCTGCAGGTTCTGCTTGTGGTCCATGGCTTTGAGCCCTAAATCTAAATGTTAAGTTACAAGTTCTACTGTTAAGTTTCCCTAAACATCTAGAAACCAAATGAACAGTGAGACTATTCCTGCGTCCAGTAGGTAGTAGCTTACTTGTAGGTCTGGCTACCGCTACCTCCAGCTAGCTACTCACCTCTACTAGCGCCCTAACCCCCCGGGCTTAGAATAAAGGTCTTCTTTAAACAAATTCTCAGCCTTCCGAGAGAAACACAGCATTTAGGACGCTCTTTGGCTGAGGGGAAAGAACCTGGGTTGAAATGCCGTGCAAAACACACAAGAAAGACATCCCACACACACACACACACGGCACAGTTCAGCTGCGGCGCTCTTCAAATTGGATATTTCCTGGTGATTGTGCTGTTGCAAGCAAGTATCTTAGATTACGGAGAGACAAAGCATCCAAGACAAGGTGGCCCCAGTAACCAAGTTTGGGTCCAAAGCAAATCCAATCCAACATATGTAAAAAAAACAATTTGATTTATACCCTCGCTGGGCTGGCCTGTGAGAAAAGGAATTTTCTAGCTCCTTGAGACCTAGCACTTTCATTTCAACAACCACACAAGCAAATTCAAAAGTGAATTCTATTTTTCAATTCAACGTGGAACAAGCTATTTTTACTAGTAGTAACAGGTGCCTTACTAGTAGTAACAAGGACGCTAGTAGGAACAAGTGCATCGCTACTAGTAACAAGTGCCTTACTAGTAGTAACAAGAAGCTAGTAGGTCACGACAAAGTTCGTGCGGTAGCAACTTCTCGATTTGTGCGGTCGGCTCGATCGACCTAAAACACAGCCATGCCCATCGCGCGTGCTTTTCTGAGGGCGAAACAAAGCGTAAGGCTCAGTGGCCAACTTGGGAGTAAGGGGCCACAGAACGGAGAAGCTGGTGCGAGGGGGTCCGTCACATGTCATGAAGCTCGTGAATTTCACTGGTCTTTGTTTTCGAAGCACCAGCCTCCCGCAACTGCGACCATGGGCTTTGAAGCCAAGCTTGTAGGTTGTCTCTCAACCGCTTGTCTTCTTTCGTCAAGCCGTCGGCATGCATCTTTTCAGTCGGCACCCAATGCATGTCAGCGGGTGCTATCGACTGCTGTACGCTCCTGATTTGGAGCAGGCTTCTTCGGTCGCTGACCGAAGGGTTCTCACTGACCACACAGTCGTAAAGACTTTTGCAGTCGGAAATCTGCTTCTGTGGCATTCTGCAGCCCAATTTATGAGCTGGCTGCAGATACAAAAGCTCGCTCAAGCAAGCATTCACATGGCATCCTCTATCGGTGCCTTCATCAGCTGCCACGGCTTCTGAAGCCAGAGTGGATCTACACACCCTAGGGCTGCGACCCGACTTCCAGTCGGTCAAAACACAAGGGGTCACGGTCTCAGTGACCTCAGGAGGGCACAGCGTCACCAAGACGCCATATTGGCTGCTGAAGTTGAGGGCATTTGCCCATGAGGAGTCTGCGTACACCAGCACTATGGTGTTCTTGTTCAGGTGGATGCCAGGCAGCACTATGCCGGAGTCCATGGTGGCCATAGTGAACTGCAAAGCTTCACCTAAGTTCTTGAGATCTCTGAAACATGTTTCGCCTCCCTTGTTCGAGAGGCTTGTCACAGCAGCAAGCTCCGGGCGGCTTTGCGAAGCAACCCATTGCAAACATCCAGCCATCGACCGGAATTCTTTCCAGCCTTCAACCGTGAGCTTCTGGTCCATCTTGCCAGGAACAGGTCGAGGTGGCTCCATCGTTTTGCAGAACTCTTGCTGTGTCACTTTCACCTTCCATTCGTTCTGCTCTTCATAGAGGGCGATCTCCTTGCCTCTGTAGGTGCCCTTGTTGCTGCCGTCAAGCTTGGTCACACTGCCCCATTCCAGCATCTTCTCAAGGGCTTCCAACTTGAAGCTTTCGGAGTAAACTGCCAAAAAATCGTCCACATGGACGATCAGCGCACAGTCTATCTTTTCCTCACCTGAGTGCAGTGAGGTGTGGTAAAACAAGCAACGGTCCAGGTCGTGCATCTTGAAGTCGTGTTTGTGCAGCACTGAACAAACATGCTTGTACCAAACGCGAGGTGCGTTAGCAAGCCCGTAGCAGTTTCCTGTCACCAGGTAGAGCTTGGCTGCGAAGCAGCCAGACTGCTTCACCAAAGGATCCTCAGGAGGCTGCATATAGAGCGGCTGATTGTTCCTTTCCTCAGTCGCTTGTTGTCCCTGTAAGAAGGCATTCTTGGCGTCTGAAATCCAACAAAACCACTTCTCCGAAGTGCCGTTGAATCTTCTGTTGGAGCCGGAGGCCAAAATGGCGAGAAGCAAAAACTCGGAGGTCCGTGAAGGTGTTGGTGAATCTCTACTCAGGGAGGTGATGTCAGGATCTGCGCAGCCGATCAAAACACATCGAGCCTTAGCAGCCAGGGTGCCGATACCGCGGTTCTTGTCGCGGTACGCCATGCGAGAGCGCAGCACTCGCCGCCGCAAAATGCGGTCTTTGAAGATCCGTTCAGCTTCATCGGAGGGTACGGGTTGCACTCCGGACCATCGCTGCCAGCCATCGAACTCCTTCTGAATGGCAAGGATGTACTTGTCGATGGTCATCTTATCCATCAGCATGATGGAACGCCATGGGATCTCCTTTTCATACTGCTTCTGCTCTTGGCGGGTTCTCACCTTGGCATTGCTTAGGGTCAACTGCTCATCATCAGAGGTCTCAGCATCGGAGACTTTGGGGTCTCCATCTTTCACCTCTTGCTCCCGCTGGACGCTGTTGAGGTAGAAAGTCATGTAGATCTGTGATCTGTGGAAGCCAACAGTGTCAGGGCTTCCGTCAAAGCCTGGGAACTTCAGGCACATGGTGTTGTCGTCGAAGATGTCCCATCGGTGCGTGAACATCACCGACGCCAGCATAGCGTCAAAGGGCCTTTTGGCCGGCATGTCGGGCAGGAGTGCTTCAGTGGGCATACCATCTCCTTGACCGGCGCTTGCTGAAGCTGTGGCTTGCTCTGGAGCCGGGGTGTTTCCACTGGTTTCGGTTGCTTCTCCTGCTGCAGGTGTGAGAGGTGCAGATGCTGGTCTTTGTTTTTCATCTGCATCTCTGAGAGCTGATTGTTCAGCTGGTGCCGGTGTAGCTGGTTGTTCAAGCGTGAGCTTGACTCTTGGTGCTGGTGAACGGCATCTGGCGATTCTCCTTCTTGGAGTTGGAGGCATTGGCGTCGCGGGCGCGCCAAACTGTTGGTATGTTGGCGAACTCACATTGATGGTGACCCGTCGCTGGTCATAATTCTGCTGTTGCTGCTGAATCACTTGAGGGCTGACAGCAGCACGGTCTTCAGATCGTTGAGGTACTGGAAGACGAAGACCTGTTGGTGGTGAAGCCGTCGATGGAAGCATTGTGCCTTCAGCAGGTACTTCAGGGCTGGCCACTTCAACGGGCAGTCGCTTCCGGAAAAATGTTGTGGTGCCTGTCCAAGGCTGCTCGTAGAACTTTGCAGATCTCTCATCACGCCACTGGTCGATCTCAGGCTGCTCTTCAAGGTCGTGGATGTAGGTCTGTCTGTCGTCTGCCAAGGTGTCGAGGGGCAGAGGACATTCATCTTGTGGTTGTGGAGCATAAAGTTCATGCCGAGGTTCAACATGTACTCGCACGGCACCTGCGTCGGTGAGCTGCCAGTAGTCGCGGCTTCTGGGAAGCGTCTCAGGCGCCAACTGTCGAACTTCTTCCATTGTGGCCTCATCAGCGAACTGCTCTTCATGCTCGCCTGGTGGACCTTCAATTGAATCTTTCCACAAACCATCACGAAGGTTCTTCTCCGCGTCCTTGAGGAACTTCACATCTTCCGCTGAGGGCGACCAGGTCTCCCAGCCGCTAGCCACTCGCAATTGGCTCACAGCCACCTTCAAGGTGTGCGCATTCACTTGAATCCAGCAGCTGCGTCGGTCAGGATCATAGGCCAAAAACCTAGCCAAGTTCCAAGAGCCACGCTTGAGTTGGCGAGCTTTGCCACTCCAGCGCCAGTATGCCACTGTCTGTCCAGGCTGTAGTGAGCTGAGGTCCTGAGTGTGCCGAGTTTTGCGAAGCAATGCTCTCTTCATGGCCTGGCTTGCACTCGTTTCAGCCAGAATCTTCATAGCATCTGCTCTCAGGATCTCGGGCTTGTAGGTCCGCTCGATGTCATCGGGCGAGTAAACCAAAACGAGTTCATCGCTCACCACATCGCCCAGAGGCCTTGGAATCTTGCCGAACACGGCCTGAAATGGACTGCGGCCGTAGGTGTAGGTGCAAGCATTGAGGGAGTACAAAGCCGCCACAATGAGATGCTGTAGGTGGTCCACAGTGTGGCAGGCATGTTCATCGGTCAAACGCTCCAACAAAGTGCGAAGAAGAGCGTTCCGACGTTCTATCTTGCCGATCCGGTTGTGCATCTCGGCCGGCACAATCTCGTGCATGATGCCGTGAGTGGCATGCCATCTTGCAACTTCACCTTGAAATGCTCCATCCGGATCGCACCTGAACCGATGAGGTAGTCCAAGTGGCCGGTACCAGATCTCAATCAGTGCTTCCAGCATTGTCGCCGGAAGGCGATTGGCCAAAGCTTTGGCCGCATGGTAGTTCGTGGCTTCACAAACCACGCCAAGCACCGGAATGGTCTCGCCAGTGAGGAGTCGGTGGTAGACGATGTCCGCCTGAAGCACTTCTCCAAAGAAGCCGGCGTAGACGGTGCTGGTAGACGAAGTAGTTGGTCTCTTGGGCCGGCCTGTTCTGATGCAGCTCCCACACCGCAAAGCATCCAAAGCGGACAAAAGCTTGGGTGACAATGAATTCGAAGCTGCCAGTAGCCGTGCCACTTCCTCCTTTGGAGCATGACCCAAATTGCAATGCAATCTTGCCACAGAAGCCTTCATGGATGAGGTCAAGCCAGGTGGAGGGTTCTCAAACCAAATATCTGTCTTCATGTTTGGTACCAGGGTGCTGGAAGGAAAACCGCACGCCTCCTCCGCGTCCGGTCCATCTTCCGCAGCTCCTGGGTTTTCAGCCATCTCTGCCTCCTCAGCTGGAGGTTGGTGGTAGAAGAAGGTCTCAATGTCGGTGGCCTTCTTGAGCTTCTTGTGAACGAGGCGGTCTGGTTGGTTCATAGGATCTCGAAGATCTTGGATCAACTCGCCGGTGTTCTTGTCCTTTGTCACACGCCTGGTCACTGTGTGCCAGGCAGGTCCTCCACGCTTAGTGGTCTGCAGTCGAGTGGCTGAAAGGTCGGTTTTGGGCCAAACCGATTCTCCAGAGTCAGGCGGCGACTCCGTTGAAGGCATCTCTTCATCCTCAGGGGCGTTACCAAAGAAGAAAATGCCCAGTCGAACAGGCTGTGCGAACCTCTGCTGTGGATAGTTGACAGCTGCCAAATCTTCTGCTTCGACAATGATCTTGCCGTCTGCCATCTTGAGAGCTGCTCCACGATGAGTGAAGGGAATCTTGAAAGCAGGCCAACGTCGTGCGGCTGGTGTCACAGCCACTTGAACTTTCTCAAGATGCCATGGGATGAGGTTCATCAGCTCTGTGTAGATGGGGTCGCTCTTGTTCAGGTCGAAGGCGCGGGTGTAGGTGTTCTCAAAGCGCTTGTCCAAAGTGTCAAGGACGGCGCGCCAACGCTGCTCATCTGCCAGAGGTCGTACAAAGAAAGCATCCTTGGCAACTTGGAAACGAGCAGGATTCCTCGGTCGAGCTTCGCGTTGTAGTCCGCGGAGAATTGCATTCACGAGTCCTTGGCAGTATTCTCCGCTGTGGCTTGTGTCCTTGCCCTCGATGGGTTTGGTGTACATCTTTTGCCCTGGTGTCAACTTTTGACTCAGCTCTGCCAAAATGGTCGGCGAGTCGGAGATCCATCGATGGGCCTTGATCATAGGGAAGCCATCGGTAGTTTCAGCTCCATATGCACCGGCATCACATACGCTGGTGCTCACATTGTCGAGCTCTGCCAAGGAAAGGATGTCAGGCTCTTGCCAAAGCCTTGATCTCAACACATTCTCACCCAAGAAAAGCCTCCCCTGAGCATGTTGTTCTTTGCAAAGGCCGACAGTGAAGCGCACCAGTTCTCGCTCTTCATCACGAAGGGCTTCCAACTCATGCAAGCGATGCGACCAGTTCATGTTCTCGTTGAACAAGCTCCAAAGGCGGCGTGGCCACGCCACGTGCAAAAGAAGGGGCTTGTGGTGCTGCAACACATGCTTTGCCAACTTCCGACCTGCTTCCGATGACAGGTCAATTCCTTCTCGAAGATCGAAGGGCTGGATGGCGTTGAGGCCAAAATGGAATGCAGTCGATGTCAAACGCGCTGCACCTGAAAAGAGTTCCAACAGGTCGATCTTCGAGTCATACTTTACAATGTTGATATAGGCAGGAATCTTGTCATACGCGGCCACCTCATTCTCGTAGAGACGTTGGTGATGCCGAAGGTGTCCGGTGAGCCACGAGTAGCTGCCTTTCTTCATATCAGATCCCATGCGTACTCGTCCACTGAGTCCTCCTCTACTAACTGCTCCTTCTCGGGTGACTGGAACAGCTCGGAGTCCTCCTCCTCTTGGGGCTTGCGACGCTTCGAGGAACTGCGACGTCGACTGGCCATCTTGCTGATGTTGAAGTACTGGGTCTTGGATTTGGCCCGAGGTGCCATCAAAGGAGGTCCCAGTGGTACCATACTTGAGGATGCCGATGTGCTCGTCAGTGGAATCGGTGGCTTGTCCGCCACTGCTCGTGCCTCTGCTGTTGAAGATGGCATCATAACCACCGATGAGTTCTCCGAAGAGGGCAATGGCAGCGACAAGGGTTTTCCGAAAGGTGCTTCGTCCCATGCCTGCTTTTTCTCGTTCCATGTCCACTTCATGCCGCAGTCCCGACACTTTGCATAACGGCCGTGCTTGTTGCCGCTTCGTTGAATCATCTGTGCCGGATGCTTGCAGGGCTGCATGGCAATGTCTTGCAGGCTCTGGAACGTGTCCACATTCATGGGATCCTGGTGCGCAATCCATCCCCTTGGACGGATACCCAAGTTCGTGCAGCGCAGCATGAACTTCGCCAGGGTGATCTCGAAGTCGATGAATGCCAGGGCTAGCCGCCGCCATGCTTGCAACCAAGGAGGAGGAGCTTGCCGAGGCATTGGAGGTTGAGGCCTGAAGGTCAAAATCCTTGATGGCCGCAGATTGCTGCGAACAAAGGATCAACTCAGAATCTGGATCTTGCCAAACGTCCTCTTGACTCAACTGCTTCCAAACATGTGAGGTGTGAACTTGTGCGGGAAACAAATCAATGCGCACTGCCAAATGACCATCAACCTGAACGATCGGAATCGTACACCCAAGCGCCTGGCATACGAGCTGCTGGCTTGGAAGATCGATGATCGCCTCAAGCCGGTGTGTGAGCAGGTTGTTACTAGCCAGCAAGGGGATCTTGTTGTTGTCATTGGTGTGCAGGACGCTGGTACCAACCAAACAAAGACCCTCAGGTGTGTGGTTCAACCCGGCGGGGATATAGGCATGCTTGAAGCTGTATTGTGGCTCACCATGACCGAATTGGAAAGCTTCTGACTCGTCTTGTTCCTTCAGCTTCAACCGGTGCTTGCTGAGGGTTTTGGTGTGCAGTTCAAGCCATGATGAGGAGCAGCAAGTACGCTGACATGCAGTATCTAAAACCATATACCCATTGTAACTGGCGAGGTTGGACATCAAAACCTGGGGAACGTTGGTTGAAGGTGCCCTGCATGGAGACGAGGATGCTGTGACAAAAGTGAAGTATGTCCCAAAAAGCTCTTGTTGATGAGATTCTTCATGAGGCTCCAAACAGGTTTCTTCTTTTGTCACACCATCCGCAAACTTCACCGCATACACCTTTTTGCTGTTGGCGCTCTTCGTGGCGTCTTTCGACTTGGTCTTGGCTTTGCCAGAGCCTTTGGGAGGTGCGGCTGATGAAGCCTTCTGTGCATTGGGCGGTGGTGCTCCTTGACATTCTGGATCACCTTTCCAGTGCCCAGGCTCACCGCATACGGCGCAGTGACTGGTTCTCTTCCGATCCTGGATGGATCGTTTGCCGGTGTACTTCCGGCCAAGGGTGAGGCCCTGAAGTCGACGGGCCGTCACTGTGAGGCATTGGATCACCTCTTGTAGGCCGTCCTCATCTTCTTCGCCTTGTTCAGGGTCTTCCAAGGCTTCTTCCTCGTCATTGAACTCTTGTGCATCTTCGTCGGCAGCTTCTTCACCATCGAATGGCTCTGCATCTGAGGGCTCAGCTGCCTCTTCGTCGTCCTCTGGGATGCTCTTGACATACTCAGTGACATAGGTCTGACGAGGTCTATTCTTGCCTTTGTGGCTGCCTTTTCCTTTTCCCTTGGGATGTGTTGTACGATCATCACCACCTCGATCGCGATCTCGCCCAAAGTCGAACTCTCGGCTGAACACGACAGGTGGTGTCGGCCTGTGGTCGGGGAACTGGATGATTGCAGCTTCTCTCACCTTGTGCACATCAAGGTCATTGCCAGTGGCGGTCAACAGAAGTCGCTGCTGGTCCAAGGAAATTCGCATTCTATCCATGAGGCGGCTGCCTCTGCTTTCCACATCGTACATGGACTCGATGTTGATCTGGACAGATCTCAGGTTCCGCTCGGTGCGAGCATACCGATTGCAGAAGCTCCTGATCGTCTCGCCAGAGAAACGGTTCAGCTGTTCGAACTCCGACAAACAACGACGCTTCAAATAGATTGCACGAGTCATCAACGGGGTGCGCAGAGAGTCCAAGATGAAGTCGATGCCGTCCTTGTGGTTGATCAAGGACAAATCTGCATGCTCCAGTTCTTCTTTTGATCTGTACCTGCCATACGCGGACCTTGCGCTCCCATTTGGTGAACGCTCGAAGATCTTCACGGCTGTAGGACCAGGAAGGAGGGCTCGGAGGTGTGCCTCCACGATACTTCACTCCCGGCTCCGGCCCTTTGCGGGAGTTCCAATGCGAGCTGCTGCTTGAAGAAGGTCCTCCTCCACCGTCGCCACCATCAGGTGGCAGGTCAGGGCCTGCGAAGGGCCTATGGCCAGCACTGCCTGCTCCAGAACCAACTCCTTTGCCACTTCGTGGTACGAGGGGACCAGGTGATACTTGAACACTGTGTGATACTTGAGGAGCAGGAGATACTTGGAGACCTTGAGCTCTGGTGGAACCAACAGGTAGGTTAGGACCAGGGCGTACTGGAGGATCAGGTGGTTGTTTATCACCCCTTCGTTCTGCGCGGCGTTGTCGCCGACTCTTCTTCTGTGGCACAGGCTCCAAGGTTTCTGGATCGACCTCAGGGTCGTTTGTCATCAGGCTCTCGGAACCTGCTTCGTGTGCCTCGGACCAATCGTCGGGAGGTCCGAAGTCCCATGCATGACGATCGGAATCGTCTCGAGCTGGGGTCCACGAAGGCGTACTCGGTGAGGACAGCGTCCTTGGTGGAGTCGATGAAGGTGGAGGCTCAGGCGGGCCAGGATGAAAGGTCCAGCTGTACGAACTAGATGAAACACTTTCATACTCAAAGCTTCCACACTGCACGCAACGCCAGCTATCAAGGGCTGCAGAGTAAACAAACCTATCATGGTAGCATCTGGTGCACTGCCAGCGAGGTCCTGGATCGTCTAGGCTCTGTGAGGGAGGTGTCCAGGGCTCTGAGGATTGTGCAGGAGTGTGATCGAGATCGAAACCTGAAGCAGCGTCCTCGGCCATCTGTCACCTTTCTCTCACGGAGCCCCCGTAGGGGCTCCGCTACCAACACGACAAAGTTCGTGCGGTAGCAACTTCTCGATTTGTGCGGTCGGCTCGATCGACCTAAAACACAGCCATGCCCATCGCGCGCGCTTTTCTGAGGGCGAAACAAAGCGTAAGGCTCAGTGGCCAACTTGGGAGTAAGGGGCCACAGAACGGAGAAGCTGGTGCGAGGGGGTCCGTCACATGTCATGAAGCTCGTGAATTTCAGTAGGAACAAGCAATACCCTGGAGTTTGGTAAAGGTCGGTTGGTCCTGAACCATCAGTGTCCACAGCATCGAAGTACTCCTTCACCTCTCGAATGCAGAATGGCAGAGGCCGAACAGGACTAACGTCAAAGCGGTTAGTAGCGTCCGTTGCTCCTAGTAGCGATGCCAGGAGCCCCTAGTAGCTTCTTGTTCCTAGTAGCGTTTGCATCTAGTAGTACGGCCAGGAGCCCCTAGTAGCGTTCTCTTGCTCCCCGAAGCGTCGAACCTGGGCATCGCTACTAGGAGGGCTCCTAGTAGCGACTACTAGGAGCAAAGGGCATCGCTACGAACAGAGCAAAGATAATTTCTGCGGAGAGGACGCAAAGAACCGCAAGACTTCGGTTTCCTTGCGCCGTTCTCTGGGACTTCGCAAGTGAAAGACGAAACTGCTCGAGCTGAGAAACGGAGATCAGCCCAACCCCTGAAGGCCAAAGAGACTCGCTGCCCTTGTTGGTTGTTAGTGATCAACACCACATTTTTTGTTTAAGGAGACCTTGCGACAACCTACAAGCAACCTCAAACAGTATATGCTTTCATCAAGGTGCTTGATCTTCTCCGGTTCATCAAACTGCTTCGTTCCGTTTGAGGCATTTATCTAGCGCCTTGTCCAGTGTGTTGGCATTCACTCCACAACGCTTGGCCAACTCACGCATACCACGTTCAGCATCCGTCAAGAGGAGGCTTGTGCTGAAGCTTCGGGAAGCATACCACCTGTGCGGTTCTTTGTTTGGTACTGCAATCCACCACTGGCAGTTGAGGCGCAATTAGGAGCAAGGATGCTACTAGGGGCTCCTGGCCTTACTACTAGGAGCAAGAAGCTATTAGTAACAAGGCATCGCTATTAGGAACAAGAAGCTACTAGGGGCTCATTTCATTGGCACGAAATACGATTAATTCACACCTGCATCAAAACCCACCGTTCAAGTGGGAGATGCTGGATGCTGTCTTGTCCATGCAGGCTGATCATCACAACGCGTCCGTTTCATTGTATTTCTAGTCGCATTTATTCCCTTTTGTCAGGACAAAGCACTGCCAACCAGCAAAAGATTGGAATTGTGCACTTTGGCATTCAGCGACTGAGCCTCCCTGCCTGATGAATTCTTCAAAGTCCACTGTACCTTCAGCAAGTTGCATCCAATGTAGCTGTGTAGAACACCTTTTGAATGTCTGGAACTACGACAAGCTGACTGCTAGTAGGTTGGCCATGGCTACTAGGGTGGAGTGGAGTCTGAAGTTTGGCGGCCAAGGTGTGTAAAAAACTTTAACAAAAGCGCTGAAAGGCCTTTAACAATGTTCCTAGTAGCGTCCGATCGCTCCTAGTAGTACGGCCAGGAGCCCCTAGTAGCGATGCCCTTTGCTCCTAGTAGCGATGTCAGGAGCCCCTAGTAGCGTCATTGTTACTAGTAGTAAGGCACTTGTTACTAGTAGCGATGCTCTTGTTACTAGTAGCTTCTTGTTCCTTCTTCAGGTTCTCAGGTATCCAAATGACTCAAATGACCATTTCTTGTTTCTCACCTTTTGCTTGGATTTGATGTTTCTTTCTTTGTCACAAGGAACGCTTACGTGTCACAAAGGTAGTGATGACCTATTTCGACTCGCGGGCAAAGGCTTCGCTCAGCACTTTCGAAACGAAACAAAGACAAGCTTAGCAGCAAAAGCTCAGCTTCAGCAGCTTCAGCAAATCCAAATTTGCTCATTTCCTCCTCATTTGCTCATTTCCTCATTCGTCCTCATTCCACACAACCGCAATCTCTTTGCTTTGGAGTGACCTGAACCATCGGAGTCGATCATGGCAAAGCTCCTGAACCGGAGGGGCGGTGAAGGGAGAGGGCCCTTGGAGAGGACTTCTCTCAAACAATCTCTTTGTGGGGAACAAGTCAATATCCTCTCGCTACTGGGTGGGAGGCCATTGCTATTAGGTTAGAGGCCATCGCTACTAAGTCCATGTCCTCTCAAGTATTTGAAGTCACTGGTGACACTTGTTTTTTTCTGACTCTGGGGATTCAGTGCCTATATCGGTCTTGCCTCTCCTTGCATCGTGGAGGACAACGACCAACGAAAAAACCTGGTGGCCTTCACTTTGCGCTTGATGATCCCTACTCTGGATTCTTGCCAAGACCTTCAACACCGACAGCAAAAAGCATCTTCGGTCCTTTCACAGAGTTGCAGAACACGCTCACGGGCCTTGAATGCTGAAAGCCTACTAGTAGCAAGAAACTATTAGGGGTTCCTGGCCTCACTACTAGGAGCAAGGATGCTACTAGGGGCTCCTGGCCGTAGTGCTAGTAGCAAGAAGCTAGTAGGTGGAGGCCATCGCTTTGGGTTGGAGCCGGCCCTCGCTGCTGGCCATGAGGGTGGACAGTTTTTTGCGAGAGCGATATAGCAAAGATCCTTTGAGGAACGTTAATATCGCTGTGAAGCGGGGGGGTTCCGTTAGATAGTGAGCTGAAGAGCATTTTTAGAGCTCAGTTGGAAGGGCCGACGAGGCGTGGATCGCAAGTTCCTCCACACGAGCTGTGGCTTGGACAGATTCGCAAGTCGCGCTATTCGGTTGGAGGCCGTCGCTACTAGTAACAAGGACGCTATTGGTGACCCGGGATGTGTTTTTAACGACTCTTTTCTATTAATCATGTGAAGCTGTGGCGGCCATCTCGATGTGTCACCATGTGTGAGATTTGGAGCGATCGGCTCTCCAATCGAGTGGACAAGATGAAAACAAAGACCCGTGTGGTAACAAAAGACATGACAAAGGCATGAAAGCTTGGGAAAAGACTCACTGTTCCATCCGAACATAGCCAGAAACTTGCAAGGAGAAAAATCATCATCCTTTTGTCGCCTCTTCATGGAAGAAAAGGAGTGTCCTCTCTGACACTCAATTTAACGGGCTAGAAAGGATTGCTACCTATTTAAAGGGCTAGAAAGGATTGCTCCAAAGGCTTTTGCTCGCATCGGAGGCTTGACCTCAGTCGAGCCTGCGTGGTGTTTCCCAGCTGCGATGCGATGATCTCCGTCGCCACGTGTTGAAACTCCTGGGGAACGACGACCGAGTCGATGTAATGTCGCCCAAAGGACCAAGGTGGGTCCCATGAACCAAACCAGACGAACCTGGCAGTAGTCTTGATTCTAATTAGCGATGGCCACCAACCTACTTGCGTTGTTCCCTTACTCCATCTTTCTCCTATTTGTCCGCTTGGTGCTATTGAAATACCCATAGCGAGAGTTCAAGGTGACCGCTCAACGACGACAGCTCGAAGGTCCCTTCAAAAGTCCGGGTTCGAGTGGAACACCAAAGTGCGCAATTCGATGAGTAAAACAGGCCTCGCTCTGATGTGAAAGACAGGAACAGATCGGACACCTGATCCAAACCCGAGTTTCGTGTTCTTCCGCTTCGCATGCCACCCAGCGTCTCCAATATCCAAGGTCCCGTTGCCATCGTCACAAGCGTCGAAGATGGATTTGATGCTCACCACCTCTTCGACCTTCATATTCACTTCTCTGGCCTCAAGAGGTTCGACATTAGAGACGAATCAAGGAGTGCCAACAAACACAAAAACACTTCACCATCATGTGAGCATCTTAAGTTTCCCTAAAATCTAGGAACCAAATGAATAGCGTGAGCTATCCTGCGTTTTTTGCTAGTAGTGTACTAGTAGCCAGTAGCTTACTAGAGTGTCTTACTTAATTAAGCAGGTGCCTACTTAATCAAGTGGGGAGGGGGGAGCGGGCTAAAGAAGAACATGAAGAAACCTGGAGCGACCTTCCTAGTAGCGTCCTCTTGCTTCTAGTAGTAAGGCCAGGAGCCCGTAGTAGCGTTCTTGTTCCAAGTAGCGATGCCCTTTGTTACTAGTAGCTTCTTGTTACTACTAGTAAGGCACTTGTTACTACTAGCGATGCACTTGTTACTAGTAGCGTGGCACTTGTTACTACTAGTAAGGAGACTACCCGTTCGAGTCTCGACTCGAGTGACTCAAAACAGCTCGATGTGTCACCCGGGTGGCCAATCGGTGCAACTCCCAAAGCTTCGTCCGCTGATCGTCCTGCAGAGCTTGAAGTTGAAACGGACAAGAAGGATTTTTAAGACGCAAAAAGTACATCTTAGTAACAAGTGCCACGCTACTAGGAACAAGTGCCTTACTAGTAGTAACAA